TGTGTGTGTGTGTGTGTGTGTGTGTGTGTGTGTGTGTGTGTGTGTGTGTGTAGGCTGGTTGGAGAGGTCAATGTTAAATGTCTTCCTCAGTTGATCTTTGTCTTATTGTTTGAATTTGAGACAGGGTCTCTCACTGAATCCGAAGCTCACAGATCCAGCAAGGCTAGCTGCCAGCAAGCCCCAGGGACACCTCCCCGGCCCCTTCCGCACTGTACAGTCCCAATGCTGGGATTATAGGCCTGGGCCGTTACATCCGGTTTTTAACAGGAGCGCTAGAGACTCAACCTCAGGTCTCCATGTTTTGCAATAGCAAATCATTCACTGTCTGAGCCATTGCCCCAGCTGAAAAATCTCTAAAATTTCTAACAGAACCAAGAAATTAAGACCACAATCTCTGGAGTCAGATTGAGTTTGGACACCCAATCCTCAAAAACTGGAGTTGTATATAATAGCCACGTCACTTCCTGCACACACATGTAAAGTGGAGGGAGGGCAGAGGATGGAGTCAGTGTGCCAAGGGCTCAGATTAGTGCTAGGCATAGAACTATTACTATCTGTGAGCTGGGGGTCCTATCACGTGCTCTTTAGATATTGAATCAACTGACATGGGTGCTTTCTTTTCACGACTTCACGTGTTTGAGCACAGAGGCCTTTACTGGGACAGGCCACGCCCACCCGCCCATCTCCTGTGAGTGTCCTATGAGCCACAGATTGGAGAGCACACCTCTGGACTAGAAAATGATGGATCGACCTTCTATGGATGGAACTTCCTTGGGCAAAAGCCAGAACTAGAACCATAAAGACCACACTATCATAACCACATAATAATTATGTATTAGAAATGTGGCAATCCCATTTAATGGGGATTCCCTGGAGCTTGTGTAGAGATGAAGTAGGTTGTCCCCCCAACATGTACTGCATATGGATATAAGTGTTAGACACAGAAACGCCTGGGCTTTTAATGCAAAGGTGATGACAGGCTTCGGGTCACAAATGACTAGGTGGGATGATAAAGTGCACATGTGCACAGAGTTGACATCTCTCTCCCGACTGTCATCCCAGCCCTGGGACCCCGCCCACCACAGCCATCTGTTCAGTGGGGAATGAACTATGACTTACATTCTTTGATGAACAAGTAAGTAAGTGTCAGCACAACCGTATGACCGCTGAAGAGGAAGTCTCCACACAGGATGTGGGATCCCGTTATGGACAACCCACCACCGGAAATCAACCGGAGAATCCGCTGTATTTTTGCCTGAGAGTCTCCATTGAGCTGAGTGACACAAAACACAGAAGAGAGTTAGTTTACAAGCCGCTCAAAGTCATGTTTCAGCTAGGAAAGCCATCAGGCTGTGATTTTTATCTTCATTTCAAATTTTTCCTTTTAACATAAAAAGTCAAAAATATTCCAAGAGGAAACTCCTTCAAGTAGGTTCTCCTCATTATGTTGGTAGGGCTTATTGACATGTTTTAAATTATTCAGTCTGTTACTAATAATACGTTTTAGTGGTGGTGTGTCCTTGGGCAAAGCTTTTAAAAATATTAATAACCAATGACTTCATCACTATGTGCTAAAAGGCAGATTGAAGCTACTTTGTTTCCTTTTGGCAGGAGAAGTGAGGATTTGGGGTCATTACCGTCCGACTAAGCTGTACGCCGCATCTGCCGGTACCTTGTGTTAAGTGGGCGGCCCTTATCAAGCCTGCATACAGCCTCATTGGCGTATGCTGGAAACATGGTTACAAGAAACCCATCTCACAATTTAAAGGACACATTAGGGGCTGTACCAGCAAGCTGTCAAAGCTTTGGTCAGGAAAGCATATCACAAGGAATCGAAGCTCCAAACTGGGGTCAAGGGTACAGAAGCCTCTCTAAACCACGATGATGTCATAAGAAACAATGACCGGCTAGAGCAGGAGTGTCCAGCAGCAGTTGAAAAATGTACGTCCTATTAAAATGTAAGCACACAAGAAAGAGTCAATCGGAAGACGAGGCAGGTCAACTTTGAAGAGACAGGCTCGGGGTGGGTGGACAGCTGCGGGGAAGCCTAATGCGGAGAAAGTCAGTGTTGGGGATCTAGTAATGGTACGCAGGAAGCAGAGTGTGACGGTCCGCAAGCAGGAGGACCATAGAAGGACTGGTCCTGACTAGTCACTTGGGATCTTGGGGACAGGTTGGTGGCACGACAGTCTTCTCGGTACTCAGTACTTCTGCCTCTGAGCCCTGGTCCCTGAAGCAGGGCAGCCCAGCCATAGCAGTGGTTAGGCTGGCAGGCGGAGCAAACGCTATCACGTCTTGCCTGAGTGGACATTGTGAAGGATTGTGAAGGAGGTGTGGACAGATGGATGGGGAGAGCCTCAAAGCAGGTGGAATACAACCCCGCCCAGGACAATAAGGAACCACATTCAGAATCTTTGGCTAAAACATCTCCCTTTAGGGGACCAGAAAATGACCTGGTTTAGAGCACGCTGCTCTTGCAGGAAGTCACCTGGTTACCAAGAAACCGTGTGAAAAGGCAAACACACGCAGCTGCTCAGCTTGTAATAACCTGCTATGTAGAAATGACTCAGAGCAGAATTAGTGTGTCCCAGGGGCTGAGGCTTCTGAGACATTTTACCTTAAAGTTTGCTACAAGCATGCCCAGCTGGCAAAAGAGTTCCCAGCAGTGGCCAGCCCTTACTAAGATGTGGGTAAGAGTCTCTCACATGCTTAAGCATTAGTTCCAGGGTAGCAGGGTGGTGCTATTAACTGCCAGGCAGGGTGGCACATGTCTTTGATCCCAGCACACACACTCCTGGAGGCAGAGGCAGGTAGATTTCTGGGAGTCTGAGACCACCTGCTTGGGGGTGACGGGACTATGGAACCTTCTGGGAGATCTTGGGCTAGCTGCGGTGAACCTCTTAGGGGTGCGGGGCCCACCCCTCTCTTTTCCCGGCTCACGGTGTGCGCAGGTGCTCTGTCAATAGCCCATAGGCTGCCTTCTCAAAGGCTCAAAGGCTTGTGGAGAGGACAGGAGTGCACACACTTGAGGAGGCAAGAGGCTGCTGACAAACCCCACGGCTGACTTCCGGAACCCCTCAAAGGCATTCAACTGTATCGGATGAAGCAACATGCCCTTGACATGGAAGATGCGGCACAGCCACTGGTGCTCTCAGCCGCCACCATCCTTCTCCAGCCATGAGGCTGGTGTGGATGCCCACGATGAGCTCCAACAGAAAGGAGCACACACGATGCCCAAGTGCTGCAGCCCGAGACCGCAAGGGCACGTCACCTCCATTGCCCTCCGTTCACCCCGCAGCTTTCATACTCTGAAGGTAGGAGCACTTAAGGTTGTTTGTCTACTTGGGGTCAGACGCCCTGAGGGGTAAACAAAGCAGTTCCTCCTGGACCACACATCGTGTCCCCTCTTCAGCAGTGTTGGTATATGATCGCCTCCCCCTACCCATCTACAGCTTGCTTTCGGGTCTCACAATCAACCATAGCCTGGAAAAAGTAAGTGGAAAGATCCCTCCCCCCAAAAAAATTAGTTTTTAAGTTTTAACTGTAATGTGTTGGGGTTTTTTATTTTGTTTTGTTTTTCAAGACGAGGTTTCTCTGTGTAGCTCCAGCTGTCCTGGAACTAGCTCTGTAGACCAGGTTAACCTTGAACTCACAGAGATCCACCTGCCTCTGGCCCCCCACCCCCCCTGAATGTTGGGGTTAAAGGTGTGCACCACCACCAGCTTGCTCTTTTCTTTATTTTTATTTTTAATTCCTCTCTTTTTTTTTAACCATACATGTTCTTTGTGCATATAGCATAACTTCCTGTTTTGTATTTTTATGATATTCCTGAGTGTTCAAGCAAGTGGGTCTCTGTGTCTATATCTGTTTCTTGTGCCCTTTCTTGGGCTCTTTTCCTTCTGTTTGTTTTGTCCTGTTCTGATGTATTTATTTTTGTTTTATCATATTATATCCATCATCTTATAGTTCCTCAGGAGCCTGTTTGTTTTCTAATGAGAGATGGAAAGGGCATGGATCTGGATGGGAGGGGACGTGGGGAGGGACTGGGAAGGGTAGAAGGAGGGGGTTATGTGAAAAAAAAAACTATTTTCAATAAAAGAAAAAAACCCACAAAATATCCATGTATAAAATTTTCAAATAATAAAAGGGAAAAGAAAAGATTTTAAAAAAAGAAAGAAAAAGCAAAGCCCCTTGGCCAGCTCTAGCCATGGTGAGGGAAAGCTAGCCCTAAAAAGATTCCATGGGAAAGGAACATGTCACTGTCGCTATAGAGAATGACTTAGAAAAATGAAAACATTTCACAACTAAGCCGACTTTTACTTAGACACACACTGAAGAAAATGGAGACTCTGGCCATAAGCCAGAGCTTGGGTGGGTGTAGGAAGCAAACTGTAAGCAAAGGACGTAAAGAAGTCATAGGATAGATGAGGCCGAAGCTGACGGCCAAACTGGAAGAGCCCGGGGTGCCACTGCGAGAACTCTGTGAGTGATAAGCTGTGTGAGCCGTCGGTTTCCAGACAGAGGCGCCTTCTCACAGAGAGAGGCTTGGGCATGTGGGGAGCTGTCATTGCTCACTCTGAAGGACATTCACCAGTCTTGCCAACACAGGAAACAGGTAGATATCGAAGAGCCTTGTGGCCACAGGCATCGAGGCAGCGCTGGGAAGCAGCAGCTGGGCCAAATTTAGAATGCAATTTTGACTCCTGCTCTCTATTCACCACATCTCCTTCAGCCGGATGGGGAGATGCATGCGTCCGTTTACAGAACCAAGTCACAGGCAACTACAGCCTGCTTCCCAGGAGGAGGGCACGTTCACTGAACGTGGTGGGTGATTAGCCAGGGAACCTCCACCAGGCGGGTCTGCAGCTTGGTCCTCCCTCAGCATATTTACTTATGTGGCTTTGGAAGACTGCAGTTCTTCCACCAAGGGAGACCTTTGATCTGTCTTTTTCTAATCAGTGACCCGTCCATTCCCAGGAAGGGTTTGCCTTCCTCTGTGGTGGGTGGCCACCTCACCACTGCACACTGTAATACTGTTCAGTAGTGAAGTCTCGGACATTCTTGTTTGGCTTCTGAACTCTCACGTCTTAAATTAGTTTCAGTCAAACCCAGGCAGTGTTTAAATTCAATGTGTACACTGTTTTAATTACAGACACGTTCTGCTTTGATGGCTTTAGGAAATTACTGCCTCTCCAAACCACACCTATATTTGGTAAGGGAGATGGCTGGCTTCTCCAGAGCAACCCTGTCCCGTTCCCTCCTGACATCTGCTTAGTGTTCAGTGAAGGCTAATGTTAGCCTTCGTCCCCTTGTCCAGGAAGCACATGATCTGTAAGTTTCCATTTCACGAGCCAGAGTGCACGGGGGTCTACGATGAGGAACAGCCAGCCTGTGCCTGGATGCTACGTGAAGAATCTGTCACTTCCCTCGGACATTTTCCACAACAGCGAAGCCTACTCCGTCTTCCCACTGGTTAATCATCTAGAGTGGCCCTTGACTTTCCTCTCTCAAACCCTATCCACACCATTAGTGTGTTCTGTCGATCTTCCCGGCAAGATGCGTCCTGGATTAAGAGACGTCAATTCCACGATCATGACCACCGAGGCTTACAACAGCAGCGAGAACTTTCGCAGTCTGTCGCCAGTACTGCGGACGCTCTCGCTGCCTGCTGTTCCTCGAACCCAAGGCGGCTAAACTCTTCTCCTGGCCTGTGGCTCTCACCTGACCCATGTGGCTAGTTCTCCCTTGCTTCCTGCCAAGTTTTTTTTTAAAAAAAACATCTTTTCCTAACCTTGCTGTAAAAAAGTTCCTATTGCTTTCCTGTGATGATCACCGACTTGGCATCATGTGATACATTATGAATTTATTGTTCCTTGAAAGAATATAAGCTCCAGGGGAGGGCCTGTGCTTTGGTCACACTACAGTGCTTGGAACCATAAGTACTATCCTTACAGAATGGATGCCTGAGATAGATAAATAAGTGAAGAAACCAAAGAGTCAAACACTGGTGAATTTTTAATGAGCACGTTTCCCCCCCATCTAAAACAGATTGCAGCTGACACCTATGAAAGTCATGGAGGACTGTGGGAAAGAGTGAGTGCCCTGGGGTGGCTCTACAGAGTCCTCTCTGTGGGGCCCGGAGGCTTACCTTCGGAGCACACTGGAAGTGCATTCCGGGCACGGGCAACGTAGTGACGTACATAGTGATGCAGCGATACAGGTACAACGTTCCGATGATGAAGAAGAATCTGCGGCCCACTATGGACCTAAAGGGAAGACAGGGATGGGAGAAACAGGTTTACCAGTTGTCCGTCTTGTTATTTTTATTTTATTGGGGGCAGGGCACGGGAGGCAGGGTCTCACCCTAGTCTAAGCTAGCCTGGACCATACTATATGCCTAATCTTGCCTCACATTCATGATCCTCTGGCCTCAGGCTCCTAAGTGTGGGGATCACAGGTGCAAGCTACAATCCCTGGCTCCCTGTACTTCTAATGCAATACTGTAATTCAATGTTTAATTCACTAAAAATAATAGACACAATGGAATTAACAAATAAACCTCAGTTTCACAGAATTTTAAGGCCTGTGAGCCGCCCATCCCATAATTCCACAGTGAGATTGATCTCATCTCTATAAAGATTTATACACTGAAGTATATCTAAGTGATTTGGGACTGGAAAGGACCAAGAAAATGGGAACAGGGGAAACTTAAGAACATGAAAAAATCTATAGTTTCCTTTCCTAAAAAATGTCTTCCTTTGCCAGGAAATTCAATAAGCCTCTCTCTGTTTTCAGTCAACTCGCCGATTAACAAAACCCTCTAGAGAACATACCAGAGGTGTAAGTGAGCTGTGGCCATAGAGGAATAATCTAATGGATCAGGTGACATTACATAATTGGATACTCAGGGAAATGTGACAATTCATTACACCCTAGTTAGGGAAGGAAGATTTTAATTGGGACCATCCAGAGCTAGACTGACAATTTCAGCATGAATTGGTTTCTCTGACTGCATAGATTTTCAGAGCACTGTATTTTGAACATGTCCAAAGTAACTATTGGATTGATTCGCTATTCTCTTATTCACTATTGATTTTTAAATGGCAAAAGAAAATAAAAAGGAGGTACAAGGGTTAGAACTGTTTGCCTTTTTCTGAACAAGATTGCACTATCATTTACTGAAGCATTATTAAAGCATTATTTACAACAACCACAAAATGGCAACAGCCTAAGTGCCCACCAGCTGATGAACAGATGGAGAAGAGGCCATGTGTATGTACAGTATAGTACTTTTGGACATGAAAAAAGAGTTCAGCCGGGTGGTGGTGGTGCACGCCTTTAATCCCAGCACTCGGGAGGCAGAGCCAGGCGGATCTCTGTGAGTTCGAGGCCAGCCTGGGCTACAGAGTGAGTTCCAGGA